TTCTCAGGACCCTCAGCAGTTGTAAGCTGTGTGCCCCATTCATTCTGACAATGGGGCTGCTCCATGGAAGCCCTTTCCCTGGAAACAGGAACTCCAGAGACAGGGTTTGAACTTCCTGGTGAGGAAGGTGAAAGGAGGAGCTGAGAAGAGCACTCATCAATGGAAAGTCTAGAAAACTTGATTCTACATTTATTCTGAGCAGAAGAAAAGAATACTGCTAACAACCATGCACATACATGCAAAACTGTGTAAGGTAATAGCTCTCCTAAAAATCCATCAGTGGTGGGCAGGATTCGGCTAATCCGTCAACTGATATTCACAAAGCTAACATCTTTCTTAGCGGCTTAGTGTTTCCATTAACAGACCAATTAGCTTCTGCTAAATGTAGTCCTGCTAACTGCAGATCTGCTAACATTTTTTCCAACACGTAACCTAAATAAAGTTTAATGGCCAAAAACGTCTGTAAATCGTAAAATCACAGGTATCTGTTCCAGTTTGTTGCCAGCATGTCTGCAACATTCTATCAAGCACTCTGTAGCCTAACTACATGTAAACAAGACGCGATTGGTCAATAACTTAATATTTAAAATAGTCTAGGAGAAATGCAAGTCCATTTAAACTGGGGTACCCTGAACTAGGGGGAGAGCTGGAGCCTGTGTCACAAAGTTGGATTTCTTGTTTAGTCGGATAAATTGTTGGATTTCAGGTACCCTTGTTTAAATGAACTTTATCTTCACTTTCATTTAGCCTAGACTACATGTAGTCTTATTAACACTCAAATATGACAAGTTATCTGGCTAAGCAAGAAATCCTGCTTCGGACCCTGGTTAATTTCCTTTATTTCCCGGGTTCTGATTGATAGAGATATAGACCAATAAAAGCTTATATTCTCAAAAAGCTGAGACTCTCCTTCCTAGTTCTGAGTAAATGGCGCCATGTTTGTAGTCCCCAAGTGGCTTCACCGAGGGCAAAATGTCAGCATGAGCCAGAGACGGAATAGGACACGTATACACTATATTGCGATAAGTATTGGGACACCCCTCCAAATCATTGAATTCAGGTGTTCCAATCACTTCCATAGCCACAGGTGTATAAAATCAAGCACCTAGGCATGCAGACTGCTTCCACAAACATTTGTGAAAGAATGGGTCACTCTCAGGAGCTCAGTGAATTGAAGCGTGGTACCGTGACAGGATGCCACCTGTGCAATAAGTCCATTCATGGAATTTCCTTGGTACTAAATATTCCACAGTCAACTGTCAGTGGTATTACAACAAAGTGGAAGTAATTGGGAACAACAGCAACTCAGCTATGAAGTGGGAGGCCACGTAAAATCACAGAGCGGGGACAGTGCATGCTGAGGGACACAGTGTGCAGAAGTCATCAACTGTCTGCAGAGTCAATAGCTACAGACCTCAAAACTTCATGTGGCCTTCAGATTAGCTTAAGAACAATGTGTAGAGAACTTCATGGAATGGGTTTCCATGGCCGAGCAGCTGCATCCAAGTCTTACATCACCAAGTGCAATGCAAAGCGTCGGATGCAGTGGTGTAAAGCACACCGCCACTGGACTCTAGGGCAGTGGAGACATGTTCTCTGGAGTGAGGAATCACGCTACTCAGTCTGACAATCCGATGGACGAGTCTGGATTTGGCGGTTGCCAGGAGAACGGTACTTGGCAGACTGCACTGTGCCAAGTGTAAAGTTTGGTGGAGGGGGGATTATGGTGTGGGGTTGTTTTTCAGGGGTTGGGCTTGGCCCCTTAGTTCCAGTGAAAGGAACTCTTAATGCTGCAGCATTCAAAGCCATTTTGGACAATTTCATGCTCCCAACTTTGTGGGAACAGTTTGGGGACGGTCCCTTCCTGATCCAACATGACTGCACACCAGTGCACAAAGCAAGGTCCATAAGGACATGGATGAGTGAGTCTGGTGTGGAGGAACTTGACTGGCCTGCACAGAGCCCAGACCTCAACCCAATAGAACACCTTTGGGATGAATTAGAGCGGAGACTGCGAGCCAGGCCTTCTCGTCCAACATCAGTGCCTGACCTCACAAATGCTCTCCTGGAAGAATGGTCAAGAATTCCCATAAACACACTCCTAAACCTTGTGGACAGACTTCCCAGAAGAGCTGAAGCTGTTATAGCTGCAAAGGGTGGGTCAACTCCATATTAAAGCGGATGTATTAAGAATGGGATGTCATTACATTTCATGTGTGTGTAAAGGCAGGTGTCCCAATACTTTTGGCAATACAGACGCTCCTCTACTTACAAACTTTCAAACATACATACAAAGAGGACTGTAAGTCAAAATTGTGTTCCTTGGGCTCCCGTTTCCTGTTCTCAACATCAATTTTTTTTCCTGCGCGCCAATCCCGCCTAATACGACTTCTGGCCGCTACTCCCGCCGCGCAGCAGCGTAGCGTGCGAACTCCCAGCATCCTAGTTCTTTGTACTTGCGTATGCACTTAAAATGATGTTGAATGACGACTTACGAACATTTCAAGTTATGAACGGCCATTCGGAACGTAACTCCTTTGTAAGTAGAGGAACGTTCGTATAGCGTATCTTGCAAGTCGAATAACATTGAAAGAAAATTTATTCCAGATGTTCTACAGAATTCAACGATCCCCAGTTGGGTAAGACCTAAATATGACCAGGTAATCACTCCAGCCCTTTCAGCTCTCTAGGAGTTTCATAGCCCAACATCAAACCCATGCTAAATTCATATAATAAAAGTTAGGCGTTATGCTTTAGCTTATGCTAAATGTTTTTTATGGATTTATCTGTTTAACATCATCGAATTAAACTTAGCGCACTAGCAGTTATTGAAGTTAAGTTTTCGGTTAGCTGTGCCCACCACTGAAAATAATCTCTATGGGAAACATGAACTTGGTATATTCCCTGTCCTTTAAAATCTCACTCATTTTTCCCTGACTGTACAAAGATTTAGAATGTGTGAGAAAAATTTACCAAGGTTTGGGTCAACCGGATCCATCTGAAGTGCCTCATGTATCAGTCGAAGAGATTCGGGTCTGTATCCTCCTTCCAACTCTGTGGACTGCAGCAGAGAAGAGATTTTATGAAACTCTGAGTACATTGCATGAATCCTGAACACATGTTGTGTAAATATGTAAAAAATCTACTTAGATGTCTAATGCTCAACAACCAAGACCAGCTGTATTTCATATAAACTGCAAGCAAAATGCAGGCTACATTTGGGAGAGCAATGTAAGCAAAATATGGGACTGATGATCCGTAAATAAAACCAGCCTCACCTCCTCTTTGATGTTGGTGGTCTCTTCCGTTGACCTGCGGGCACATTCGTCTTCCTCCTCCTCTTCGCCTCCTACAGGGAGTTGGACAAGGTACACGTCTCGTGGCTCCTCGCCAGCCTCCCTCGCGGGAGCACTCCCTGCTTCCCAAGGGTTAGCTGGCCAGTCCTTATCAAAAGCACCAGCTGCCCTCTGCTTAACTCCTGTTGTGAGGTGGAGAGACATAAAGCTAGAGTCCAAGTGGCACACCATAAAAAACGAAATAAGTTCCAATCTTTTTTGTACCAGACTATTAACCTCTTCTGTCTAATCCTGCTATTTTAAGCAAATTTAAAGTCACTGAAATCCCGAAGACATTAACGGATACTAAGTAATATGTTGCATTACTGTTTAAAGATTAAAACGATTTATTAAAAAAAAAAAACTGCTGATCTTTTGAAGTCTTATACAATTCGTATAATACGTTCAATTCCACTTACTACTCATTTCAATTTTTCGTTTTTTCCGCCCACTCTCGTCTGATACCAGAAGGCTGGAGCTACGTCGGCTCGCTGCCCACCCCATCCCGTATTTCCGTTCATTTCTCAGTTTGTTTTCAGTCAATCTAAGCCTTAACTTCAGGGCCTCGTTTTCCTTTCTGTTCAGTGATATCTCCACCAGGTAATCGTTGACAGTATCCTGAAATAGCTTCGTGATTTCACACACCGACGCCCTAACCAGGCTATCCATAACCGAAGTAAGGTGGGACTGGAAGGTCTTCACGGAGTCAGCCATGACTCCAGGATCGCCGATTTCACACATACGGTTTCTGGCACAGTCCTTGTATTACTTTTCCTTTCGAACAAAAAAATAGAAAAGTGTTTCACCGGTCCTGGGTCGCCAATGCAGAAGATCGAATTGGGTGAAGATCCTCTTTTTCGCGATCTGAATATTGTCCACTGTTCAAGTCAGACTTCTGCTAATGTTTTAAATTGCAACTTAGAACAAGCATCATCGGCATACAAAAGTGTTTGAATCAGTCAAACTGTTAACTAGTCGAACAGAACTGCAAACTTTAAAGCAATCGGAGTGAGTTGGAAAAGGCAACATATATATCATGGCAATGAATCCAAGCAAATAATCGTTTGCTGACAAAAAACATAGCAAGTTCGCTTTATGCAACATGCGGGTAGTGAATACACCACGAATCGAAAATGAGACTGAATTAAAAATTAACGAAAGATGTTCCTGAAACCACTAAAATAACTGTATGTATACGATAATTTTTTTTAATAAAATACTTTCTTTATCCTGCCTGTTAATCCACCGTGTTTTCATCATCACCCACAATATTCGCGTTCCGGATGTTGGTAACTGAGCGTGCGCGTTTTTTTTTTTTTTTTTTTTTTTTTTTTTTTACCGTAAAATCTAAAAAAAATGCACAAACAGGGGAGCGTCGTGGCGGATGTGACGTCACAATCACGCGCCGAAACTCAGGTGTTTGCAGAATTTGTAGTTTTAGTGCTTTGTCTTCGTATTAGGAAATACACCTACACTTTTTGTGTAGGTGCATTTGGAGGATAAAAGCGTAGTGATTAACGAACTGTTGTTTTAGACAGTATATAATATTTTGGGGGTAGTAACGTAAAATACTAATTTGCATTTGGATTTCTATATATGTGAGTTTCATATTAAGAGAAAGTATAGTCGCGTGAAATAAGGGATGTTCCTTTTGTCCCTTTTCGGTATCCGTAATTTGAGTTTTTTTTTGACGTAGATTAGTATCTTTGGTTTTAACTAGCTACGAAAATGTTGTAGGTTGTATTGACTGTGTAATAATACCAGTGGATTTATAAGCATTCGGTTTCGGTAAGATGATTACTGTTGAGTCCGTTAACTAGCTGCAAGCTACCAGCGTTTTTGTGTTTCGAAAACAGCGTCGTTCATTCTAAAATATCTTTTCAGTTATTGTTTTGTAGGTGCTTAATCTCTTTCATAATTTATCGTGGATAGCAAATATTTATGTTAAGAATACCCAGTGTCGATCCGTATTGTTTCGATGAAGAGATAATAAAGATATTGACGCAAAGATGGACTAAAATAACCATTTTTGGACACTTTATATATGTGGGGCAATAACTGAATGTTTACAACATAAATAGATAAGTAACGAACTACATAGCGTAAACTCATTTTTTAATCGTTTCTGAGAAGTCAGACCTTGTTCATAAGAGAAACTTGGGGAATCTGACCGACGGGTGAGAAACGTTGCTATTCTGTTGTAACAGATTGTATACAATGTCGGAGGACATTCTCACATTTCAAGCACAGCTCTCCGGCATCATGGAAATGGTCCTGAAAGCGGCCGTGCAAGAAATTACCACCTTGGTGGAGGGTAGTTTCCAAGGAGAGGTTGTGCGGAGCAGAAAGGAGGTGGAGAACCTCAAACAGAGGCTTCAGTTTTCCGAGAAGAGATGGAGGGATCGAGAGCAAAGAATGAGAGCCAAGTGTGCGGAATGCGGTGGAGCTGGACTGTCCGCTGAGGCGATGGGTCCCGTTCTCACACTGACGGAAACTGGTGGGTTGAGATTAATAACGTTTTAGTGGTAGCTGCAAAAATGATTATAAGTATTTGCAAGCATCACTGTTAACCACTCGTGGCTCCTCTGTCACCCACATTTGGAACTGTGCAGGTATTTTCAGTATATATGTTATGAGACCTGTCACCATCTGTATTCTGTATGTCTGTTAGTATTACCCAACTAGAAAACCAAAGGTGGCAACAAGGGAATGTGTCTGATCTCTGATTCTTTCATTTTGAGAACAGAGGAAGGTGGTATCAAGGAAAACAATAATTTGGGGGGAGCCTGGAGTATTGCTCCCTGGACAGCATTGGATGTGCAGGAGGCTGCTGCCACCAGTCCCACACATAGTCCAGAGGTTTGAAATGCTTTGCATTCTTCTAGATATTATTACTGCCTATAATTTTGGCATTGAAAAAGGTCACGCTTAGATAAAGAAGTAATGTACCTTATAACCGAAGAGTTGGTCATTCATAAGTCAGGTTTTTTAATCAGCTTTATTAGGAATTGTGCGGAATATCTTTCATTATCTATGACTGTGTTTACAGGATTGTGAATGTGGAAGATTCAGTGTGTCTTTTATCTTTGTCACAGACCACAGATGCTGAAAAGGATGTGTTTGATGTAATACACAAAGGAGAGACCCAGATCAACAGAAAGAGTGTGGAGAGTAAGCATTTACCAGGGGTCTTTTATTTTGTCTAAAATAATTCATGGCTTCAAGTGTTTGCATGATGTCATTTAAAAGACATATACACTCACCTAAAGGATTATTAGGAACACTTGTTCAATTTCTCATTAATGCAATTATCTAATCAACCAATCACATGGCAGTTGCTTCAATGCATTTAGGGGTGTGGTCCTGGTCAAGACAATCTCCTGAACTCCAAACTGAATGTCAGAATGGGAAAGAAAGGTGATTTAAGCAATTTTGAGCGTGGCATGGTT